CTGGTCAGCCTGCGAGGGCTCCGGCGCTGGGAGGTCTCCCTCTAAGCCCCAGGGGCTGCAGTCCCCACAGGGGCCGTGTCCACAAGGCCACCGTGACATCGGAGCGGGAGGAGGGCACGAGCGTCTCCAGGCTGCAGAATGCGAGCGCCCCAAATGCAGCTTGTCCTGGGCCAGGCCGGCCAGTGGCGGCGCCAGCAGAGGGCAGGAGGAGAGGGTGCGCAGGCTATTCTCCCACGCGTCTTGCTGGCTTTCAGGTGGCTGGGGCAGCTCACCTAGGAGGAGAGGCTTGGTTTGGCTCATGGTTTCAGAAGGCTCAGTCCTTGTATGGTCAGCCCGCTGCAAGGCAGGCAGGCGGCGGAAGGGTCTGGTGCAGACACTGGTTCACATCCTGGTGGCCAGTAAGCCGGAGAGAAGGGCGGGGTCGCGGAGGGAGACAAACCCTTCTTGGTCACATCCCAGCGACCCGCCTCTTCCCATAGGACACCCCCACCCCCAGCAGCAAGGCAGCTGCAGCGCCCCTCGGCCCGCACTCTTCCCAAAGCCCTGCTGGAGGAGCCATGAGGTCCCAGGCATCCTTGATAGAATCAAAGTGGTTGTCTTTACCAAGAGGGGGAAGGGCCCTGCACAGCATCCTCTGCCTACTTTGACCTTAGGAACTGAGAGGACACAGGACTCGCGGGGATCACGAGCGCTAAGGCCGGCTGCCAGGTGATAGGGTACCAAGTGAAGTAGGTTAGAGTCTAACAGAACCAGACGGGTGCGGCAGAGGGGTGCACACAGGCTGCCAAAGGAGCCCTGCTCAGCACCTGTGACTTCCCCTGTGGGCACATGGACCAGAGTTGCCCGATGTTCTGATTTTTTTAAAGTGTGCTGCTGGGGATTGAACCCAGGGCCATTGCAGTGAGCTACATTTCCAGCCCTTTTATATTTTTATTTTAAGACAGGGCCTTACTGAGTTACTAAATTGCCCAGGCTGGACTTTCAAGTTGTGATGCTCCTGCCTCAGCCTCTCAGAGTGCCAAGATCGCAAGTGTGTACCACCATACTCAGCTCAAGATGTTCTGACTTTTATTAAAAAATGAGGAGTTCAGATTATGTAAAACCTCTAGGGTTTTTAATTTTAGAAATTAATTTTTTAAAAAACAATCAAACCCATGCGTGAGCTGGATTTTAGGCTACTATTTTTCAAGAACTCTCATGGTTTCTGTTCAGATTGGATGATGGATTTGATAGTGCGAAATAAAAAATTCAGTGACCCAGCATTGTCTTTGATGGCATTTGACTAAACCCTGCCTCCACATGCCCAGCATACCCTTTCCCAGCCTCAGTTTCCCTCAAGTGGTAAGAGCAGAGCTCCTCCAAAACTCTTCCCAATTCTAAGCCTTAAAATTATTATAGAATATATTTTTTTAACTCCTGATTTTCAGCCAGGTGCAGTGGTTCACTTCTGTAATCCCAGCACTTGGGCGACTGAGTCAGGAGGATGTCAAGAGTCTGAGGCCAGCCTGGACTACACAGCCTATGTCAAAAACAAAACAACAGAAAACAATAACCTGCCGATATTCACTTGCGCACAGGAAAGTCACTTGGGCAAAAGTGGGGGGAACATTCTTCCCTGGGTCTGTAAACTAAAATTCTTCACTATCATCAGTTTTAAAGAAAGAAGAAAAAAGCAGACAGTAGGATAAAGGTTTAGCTGAGAAACCGGAAATTACGTTTATCGCTCTATAAGTCAGCGAAGAAAGGGCGTCAGGCTCCGGAGTTCGGATGGTGTCTGCTGAAGTACTGTGCTGCCCTGGTGCTCCTGCTCTGTCTCCCCGAAGTGGCAGCTGGAGGCGGCTGCATCCAGCGTCAGTTATCTGCTGAAAGCACCCGGAAGAGAGTGAGCACCCGTGTAGCCCCTCTTGCCCCTCCTCCCTCACCTTCGTCATCGTCCACACCTGGAGAACGGAGCGGGCTTGCATGAGTCACCGAGTTGTGCTCGAGGGCGGAAGGGGAAGAAGTGAAGTCCTCCCGTAACTTCTCTGAACCTTCCCCATGGCAGCTGAGAGCTGGGTAGCGGGCGGCTTTCTGGGGCTTCGGTCCGCACCTTCATCTCCCCGTGGTGCAGGGGCTGTTCACGGCGGGGAGACCTGGTGATTCCCAGGCAAGGTCCCATACCGTTTGCCACCCCGACTCCCGTGGGCCAGTCCTTCTGAAATCCTTGGGGTCCCTCAGCTGAGCGTAGAGCCGCCCACTCCTGGGACGCTGCCTCCTGGAGAGAGCCAAAGACGGGCGCCACCTCCGGGGGCAGGGCGGTGACAGCGGTGTCCTGGGGGGACCGGGCTGCATGGTCGTGAGTCTTCGAAATTCCCTCTTTTTCTGCCAGGTTCTCAAGTCGGCCACCCGGGCCCCCACCTGGTGCGTGCGTGCGTGTGTGTGTCCACGTGCCCGCAGGAGACTCTCCTACTCCCACTTTAGGAGAATCTAAACGCCTTCTTGTGTTCCCACCCAAACGACTTCTCTTGCTTTTAACCAAAATCCAGAAGGAAGGAAACAGTGCATCCCTGGACTCTTCTGCCAAGGGTGGGAGCGATTCAGCTTGGGAATCCAGACACAGGTCCATACAGGCAGGGCCCAGGTGGATGTGTGCTCTCACTACCCCTGAGGAATCCAGCCCTGGACGCGGCAGTGGCAGTAGTATTTTAGAAGAGTTATATTTGAAAAGAACCCAGATCTGCTATTCTTAACAAATCTAAAAAGAGATGAGCAAGTTCTTAGTATAACAAACTACCACTACCGTGGGCTTATGCCTGCTTGTATGGAAATTATGTAGTTTGCAAAGCACTTTCCCAGAAATTCTCAAATGTCACATGCACAGCTATGAGTACAGAACTGTAGCTGAGACCAAGGCCCTATTTCGGAATGGCTTCTGCTCTGTACTTGCCAGTAAGGACAGCATTGTTGGCAAGGTGATAGGAAAAGACCCTTTCCTCTCTCTGCTCAGCGCGGTGCTCGAAATCTGCAGGATTCCATACAAACCTTCAGGTCAGATTCTACCAGCAGGTGGAGAAGGGGTCTGGGCGCTGCCAAGCAGGGCCAAGCCAAAAGGTGGAAGAGAAGAATTTTCAGTTTCCCCTGTTTTCTATTTGGATTTTTAAAACTCCTTTAGGAAGGTGTCAAAGATAGAGTAAGGACAATTTTGAAGGTACTGCTTTCCTCTTCACCACAGGGGATTTATTGCATCTCTGAGCCTTGGAGAGGAGTTTGGAGTATTCATTAATGCCCTGGTTCCTTTCCAGAAGCCCATGTAAAGGTGCAGGGTGCAGTGGCTCACCCTGTGCCGGCAGGCCCACTTACAGCTGGAGATGTTGGGAGGTCTTGGGCCTGCATCTTTGTAGCAGAGTATTTTTGCTGACGTTGCAAAGGGTTGTCATGGCAACCATAAAATGCCGTCCCCCTGGAAGGGAGGCAGATGTCAGTGGGCGTTCCTTTGTCATTGCAGGTGCAGGAGGAAAGTTTTCTGCAGATCATTTCGCTCTCAGGGCGGTGGAAGTGTGTCCTCCTCTGTGACACCAAGAAGCAGTTTCCGGCTGATGGAGAAAGAGGACCGAGTCCCTGAGATGGTGATGAAAGTTCTGGATGCACACGTGAAGCACCTGGAGATGCATGGGGACCTGAATCCTGCTGCCAGGCAGGTGCTGAGGAGGAGGGTACAGGAGGGATGGACTCTGCCATCCTCCCGGCTGGCAGTGTGTGCTGAGAACCCCAGGCGGGTCAGAGTCCAGGCCCAGCTGTTTCGTGGTGTGGTCTCAGCTGTCCCACTCCTGCCTCCACCCGGGTTCTTGTCTGTGCCATGAGGCGGTGTGGCTGGCTCTTCAGGACCATTGCATTTGCATCGGAACCAGTGTGGGACAAGAAACCCGGCAAAGCTCTGCTCTGAATTAGAATCTCCCTGGCTTCCTGCTTCAACTCTGAGTCTCCCAGGCTTTTGGCACAGGCACCTGGCAAAGAAGGTAGAGAACCTGCCTCCGCCTCTGCATCCCAACCCACTGTGATCCCCAGGACGACTGTGTCATTTCAACCCAGTGTGGTCGCTGGACAAGCAGGCAGGCAAGGTGACAATGTGTGTTCCCTGCATTGGCAGGAACAGGCGAGACCCTGGTGCTGGGAGTGCAAAAGCTGGGGCGCTGCCTGTGTTTAGTCCCCACTCTGCTCCTTGCCAGGCACCAGGCTTTGGGTATAATGGTCGCCTCGGGCCCACACCTCTCATACCTGTGTACAAAAGTAGCAAACGGTGCTGCCTCCTTCTAGGGTTATTGGGAGGAGATCTGTTGAAATAAATAAAGTTCTCAGAGCTGAGCTGGGTGCATAATTAGCCCTCTCCAAGTGTTCTGCGTTTTATTTGCATCTGAATGATCAGCTTGATTTCTAAAAAGGCAAACACACACATCTTCAAAGCTCAGGCAGTGAGTACTCCTGGACATGAGTTACTGGGTGCAGCCCAAAGTGTTGGCACATGGTCTCTTTGTCCGAGGCCCCAGCTGCTGTGTTGAAGTTGGAGGTGTGGGCAGCTGCCGGCCTCCACCCTCCTTTCCGCAGCCAGCCATG